AAAACCATGGGTTCCTTTAAATCAGAGCTAGATAAGATTTTAACAACTCTGAGCTATTAGTTAAGTTCTCCCCAAGCGAGCTTGATGGGCCGATCTGGCCTTCTCTCATTTGTAAATTTCTTATGTTCTTATGATTGTCTGAAAAAATCTTCAGTTTTGTTCCTGGAAGTTTAGGAAGACTGATTTTTCTTTAATTCAAAAACTCAGAGTATCGATGCTGTATTAAATTATTTTCATGTTGGTGTAAACCTCGTGGTCATAGGTGGAAATTAGCGGGAGAACATTTCAAACTGGATTTAAGGAAGCACTTCTTTACACAGCGTGTTTAACAACTCTGAGCTATTAGTTAAGTTCTCCCCAAGCGAGCTCGATGGGCCGAATGGCCTCCTCTCCTTTGTATAGTTATGTTCTTATGTTCTTATGATGTTGGGAGATGTAGGAGAGCTTCTAGGGTGGCTAGTGGCAGATCTTTGCCAACTTCTGTCATGATGCCATATGTTTGTTGGGTAGAAACATTTTTATTGTTCATCATTTTCATAAAATTAAAGAATAAAGACCTGCAAAGAATCTGTTCAGTGGGTACTACTGTAGGTTTCTGAAAGATATTTTTTGGCTCTGTGTTTGTACATGGCTCTATGTACTTCTGTGATGTGCTGTTTGTACATGTGTCTACATGCTTGTGTATGGCTCTGTGTGTTTTATACAGACCTCTGCATTGTTGTTTGTGGTTCAGTATGTTTGTATATGTTGCTACATATGTGTTTGGCTTTGTGCATTTGTACATGATTTTGCATGCACTTTGTGCTTTCTTGTGTGCTTAAGCATGTCCCTACATGTACTTTATGTGTTTCTGTGTACATTGGACCTCACCAGTCACCTCATATTCTGGGTCCCTGCAGAGATCCGGTCCCAGCTGGTGGAGCAGCAGAAATGCCTGGAGCAGCAGACGGAGATGAGGGTGCAACTCCTCCAGGACCTGCAGGACTTCTTCCGGAAGAAGGCAGAAATCGAGGTGGAGTACTCCCGAAACCTGGAGAAGCTGGCGGAGCGCTTCATGGCTAAGACACGCAGCACCAAGGACCACCAGCAGTACAAGTAAGGACCCTCCTGAGTTTGGCTCTGACTCTCTTGTGTCCATCCTTCACTTTAACCTCGTTTGCTGATAATCAGAGTCCTCAGTCCTGTCGCTCAGATGCAGCCAGGTGGTCAGCATGTAAGGTCTTATCATCAGATGGCTTCTCCGGTAACTCCACTATGACGTTAGCTTGCATATCTGCTGAGGTTAATTGCCCCAGGTGATTTAGGGCTTATTACCTACCATGTTTGAGGCTGGATTTATCTCCAATGTGACATGAATTATTGAGATGCCATATCCTGTGGGAGAGGCAAGGGTGGGGATTGGGAGTGTTGTCTGCAGCGTGCGTGTGTGTGTGTGTCTCTCTCTCTCTCTCTGTTTCCTGGCCCCTGATTCTCTTCCCCCAACTGCCGTAGCATGAGTCCGTGCCACAGACAGGCTGTTTTTGTTCACTGTTCTCCGTCTCACTCCTGGGGAAACGTTCAGCCAGACAGTGACCCCCCTCTCCCGGCCAGTGATTCACATGAGTTAATAGCGTGGCAGTTAGTGGCCCCCGCAGGCAGTATGGCTGGGCATATGGGACAGGTAGCGTGTGTTCTTGTTTGCGACATGGGCCATATTTTAATTCGGTGTGGGCCACTCATACATGCTGCTAGGTTTTGTGGGCGGAGCTCGCTTGCTAGTGAGTGAGTGGTGAGAAATGCAGATGCATCTGCTCTTTACACAGCCTGTGCCTGGGTGGTGCCACACACCCTGCACTCTGCAGTGCCCCCTGGGGTGTGATTGGGGGGTAGGGCTGGTGATTTAATATTGCCTGTTTTCCAAAATGTAATATATACTGTATAATGATATTATATAATAACCAAGACCCTGTGGTTATGGAAATTGGAAGGATATCTATGTAATAAGTAATACAGATGCTCTTAATATATATTTTTTAGAAAATATACAGATATTAGTATGTATTGTCTAGGTTATTAGAAGTCGAAGATTCTAGCGGATTCCTACCAGTTCCAGCTCTCCCGTTTGTACGGAGTTGGCACCACAGAAATGCCAGGCTCCTGAACGTGCCCTTTAATTTACAAGCGTTTCTGTATCACTGAGCCAGGCGGCATAGCTGCCCTGGTGGTTATGTGTATGGGGGGAGGGGTTGTCTAGCGATAAAGGGACAGCTGAGCTGGCTGTCTGAACCTCCTGTTGGACATTTTTGTTCAGTGTCCTGGGGGTTATTTCCACTGACACTTTGAATAAGTGTCTATCATTCCATAGATCACATTACCGCCCCAGAAAAAGGATGTTTAAGCACTCTCCATTTCCGTGGGGATTACACATGTTGACTAAAGCCTTAGAATCAGCCTGTGAGGCAGTGTTATGTTAAAACTTCATGCTTCTCATTTCAGAATGTACAGTGGATATAAAAAGTATACACAACACTGTTAAAATGCCAGGTTTTTGTGATGTAAAAAAAAATGAGACCATGATAAATTATTTCAAAACATTTCCTTCCCTTAATGTGGCCTATAACCTGTTCAATTAAATTAATTAAACAAATCTGTTAAGGGGAAAAATACAAAAAGATATAAAAAAAATGTGCAATAAGCCAGTTGCATAAGTGTGCACACCCTGAAACTAATAATTTGTTGAAGCACCTTTTAATTTATTAATTAGAGCATTCAATCTTTTTAGGTAGGAGTCTATCAGCATGCCACATCTTGACTTGGCAACATTTTCCCACTCTTCCTTGCAAAAGCTCTCCAAATCTGGAGATAGCCCTGTGCATAGCCCTCTTCAGGTCACAGATTTTCAGTTGGATTTAGGTCTGGGCTCTGATTGGGCCATTCCAAAACTTTCATTTTCTTCTTGTAAAGTCGTTCTTTTGTTGATCTGTGTGCTTGGGGTCATTCTTCCATTGAAAGGTGAAATTCCTCTTCATCTTCAGCTTTCTAGCAGACACCTGAATGTTTTGGGGCCAGAATTGACTGGTATTTGTAACCGTTCATAATTCCCTCCACCTTGGCTAAAGTCTAGTTCCAGCTGAAGGAAAAACAACTCCAAAGCATGTTGACGCCACAACCATGCTTCACCGTGGGTATGATGTTCTTTTGGTGACGTGCAGTGTTGTTTTTGCTCCAAACATACGTTTTGGAATTATGCCCAAAAAGTTCAACCTTGGATTCATCAGACCATAACACATTTTCCCACATGCTTTTGGAAGACTTGATGTATTTTTCTGCAAAATATAGCTAGGTGTTTCTTTGTAAGGAACGGCTTCCGTCTTGCGACCCTACGCCATAGTCCAGACATATGGAGAATACAGGAGATTATTGTCACATGTAGTACACAACTGGTACTTGCCAGAAATTCCTGCAGCTCCTTCAGTGTTGCTGTAGGCTTCTTGACAGCCTCCCTGACCAGTTTTGGTCTTGTCTTTTCATCAATTTTGGAGGGACGTCTAGTTTTTGGTAATGTCACTATTGTCTCATATTTTCTCCACGTCTTGATGACCGTCTTCACTGTGTTCCATGGTATATTTGATGCAGTTTTTTTGTACCCTTCTACTGACTGATACTTTCAACAATGAGATCCCTATGCTTTGTAAGCTCTCTATGAACCATGACTTTTGCTGTAGGATGCAACTGAGTAAATGTCAGGAGAATCCCACTAGGACAGCTAAACTTTATTAGGGGTTAATCAGAATCACTTTTATTGCAAAAATACTGAATGCTATCATTAAATCAAAAGATGCTTCAACAAAGTATTAGTTTAAGGGAACGCACACTTATGCAATCAGCTTATTGTACGTTATTTTTAATATTTTTCCCCCTAACAGATTTGTTTATTTTTCAATTGAATTGTACAGGTTATACGTCGCATTTATGGTGGGAAAAGTTTTTTTACATCACAAAAACCTGGCATTTTAACAGGGGTGTGTACACTTTTTATATCCACTGTAGATCTGGTTACATTAACCGGACAAATCTCATAGATATTGCTTGAATCCTTATCTTCATCACACTGTTTTTGCTGATGAGGGTTAAAAGCAGGGCGTTTTCCCCCACTTGACTACCTGTGGAAAGCTGTGTTTGAAATTCAACCCCATAGCCTTCAGAGGCCCTGATGTAGAAAAAGGATGGCCTGATGTGAATGAAAGCTGTTTGCTACTTCTGGAACCCTTTCCTTCTGTTGGTATTATGTTGCATCAAAAACAGAAAGATGACAGTGTCACTAATAAAGGATTGTGACAATTTAACCTTTTTCATTAGATCAGGAAAAACAATAAACATTGAATCATGGCTTCTGATGTTTTTCTTTTACTGTGGAAAGATGTGCCACAAACAGGGCAGGTCCTCTGCTGCTGGGACTCACACCCTGTCACCTTCCCATAAAGCAGTGGTACTGAGATACCCTGTTAACCAGAGGAGCAAGTGGCCTTAGTGTCCATCTGCAAGTTAATCTGCTTAATGTCATGTGACGGCATCACACTTTAGAGCGACACGGTGACTCGTATATGTCCGTAATGCGATGCAATCATTTTTGTCTCGCTTCCTGCATCAGGTGTCGTCTGTGCTGCCTGTGTGACTTTGGTCATTGCCATAGTGGCATGCTAATATGTTTCCCACCACCACAGCAGCATTCTAATACATTTCCCATTGCATTGCATAATGCTAGTACATCTCCCATCACCATAGTGGCATGCTAATTAATTTCTCATAACCATATTTGCATGCTAATGCATTTCTAATTGCCATAGCAGCATGCTAATGCATCTCTTATTCTCATAGCAGCATGCAAAATACATCTCCCATCGCCATAGTGACATGCTAATATATCTCTCATGGTCATAGTGGAACACTATTATGTCTTCCATTACTACTGTGGCATGCTAATACGTTTCTCATAGGCAAAGAGTGCTGTGCATGCCATCAACATGACAGTACACCAAAATCGTGAGATCCTAGGCAGAAAATCCATATGTGACTGCTGCTAAATCGGCAAACTTCAGTGAGCGATCCTCGTTGGAGCTGGAGCTGACTGTTTAAATCATTATGCCGACAGATTTTGTTCTGTTTCTCTGGCAAAAACACATCTTCAGCAACTTTATTGGTAAGCATGCGTGGACCTGCTTATCGACCAATGTGTTTCAGACCGCGATTACATTCATGGGAACCATAACAGCACAGGGAGATGCCATTTAGCTCTAATGTTATTACAGTGCATGATAGCTGGGATGGGCCGTTACACCAGTAATGAAGGGCCTTTCTTTGGCGGTTCCTTTTTTATCTTTCATATGGCAGTTTTACATTTCACATGGGCTTCAGCAGTCAGATGTTTTCCTGCCCCTATGAATTCCTCCCTGATGTTTTTCATGGTGCCACAGCAGACCAGTTTAGCAGGAAGCTTACAGAGTGTCCCTGGCACAGTAACCTGTAAATGATGGCATTACAGAGATAAGGTTGTGATGCCTGTTTACTGTGCACAGACTCCATCACTATCTTCTGTTCCGGGTTTTTTTGCACTGTGATATGTGTTGCCTGCTGTGAAAAGCAGACCCTCATTGGTTATAGAGATGGGTTTTTGCACATTGCCTCTTTAAAATAAAGGTGTTGGTGTCTCTGTATTGTTATTGATCCCAGAGAGCTAAAAACACAGTTGATGTAGATGCTCTCCTCCTCTCCATTCTGCACAGGGGTAACTCAGGGGGGCAGTAAACTTGACAGTAAACCTGAGCAACATAATTTTTCCTGTGGCAAAATTACTTATTGCACCATTTCTTGGGATGGGGGTGTGCTCCTCCCTGCTCCTCCCTGCCTCCTGTATTTGTGGGTGGGGTCATGCAGCTGTCTGCTCCATGCTTGGCCCTTTTCTGTCAGATTAGGGTTGTGCTGCTGACTGTCCCTTACTGCTCCCTGTCACTGGGAGTGGGGCTGTGCTCCTGTCTGCTTATTGCTGTGGGGGAAACTGGCAATCCTTATCCAAAAACTGTCAAAATTTGTGAAAAATGGTGGGGGCAAGTAGTATT